TCAACATTGTTTTTTTTACCTTACATGTAATCTTCCTTTTTCAGCCTATATATATCTTTCTTTTGCATTGCATTGTATAGAATTCTGAAAAATGTGTTAAATTATTTATCTGAAAGCGCTTAAAAATTCTTGTTTATTTTTTCTATTAAATGATCTGTTAAATTTCATATTACATGATCCTTCATGATCATGTAATATATGTATATACAGTTTTCTTTTCTACCACAAACGTGGCCACACCTTTACAATGCTAACCAGCATATATACATTTTCTTCTGTCCTCCATGGACAGGGTGAGAGATCTGTTAAACATATAGTTCAAGGGTTTATTGAACAATCAACCACAGAAGGTGATTCGGTGCTTTTAATATGCTAAGCTAACCTACATACGTAAATACACACACACATATATATATGCAAACAAGCCTGAATGGTCCCCAGGACCATATACAACTGAAAATATACAACATATATATATACATTTATTTATTTATTTATTTATTTATTTATTTACAAAAGACATAAAGATATAATCAACTTTCAACCAACACTTTGAACATGATCGTAACAATTCATTTTCTGACCGTCTATTTCCTCTTTGTTGCTCGCCATTAATCCACTTTTCAATGAATTTCCCAACAGCAGACGGATAATGAGAATAAAATTGGCGGGAAAGCTTCAAAATTTCTATTTCGTTGCGTCTTAGTCCAATCAGAGCGTCGCAGCTGAGGCTGGACCGGCTGATAGTGCCTTCCTCCCGACGCCTTACACTGACTGTGGCTTGGGTCTCACTCTCGCATCTATGGCCATCTTTTGTACCAGAAAGCATTCTGTAGTTTTGTTTACCTCGTCTTTGCTGCATTTCATAAAACTATTTGAAACTCTGAAGTGCACAAACTGTCTGATATAATTTAAATAATATTGATTCATTCAGAGAATTCGAACATCGACAAGACGATTCAATGGAACAAGTGAACGAACATTTTCGTCTCAGGTGCTTGTAGTGTTCAGACGACCATTAACTTTGTCACATGCTTCACAAGAAGAGGTATGGAGGCTGTGCCACTCACCTCAACACACTATCACCGACTCCCAAGTTCTCCTCAACGTAGCTGTGAAGGACCGTCTTAACATACCGTTTAGGCTATCATGGCATATTGTATATTTTTTGGCTCTTCCGTGAACCTGAGGCAAAAGTATGTGCACTACTTCCTAAACTACTTTCGTGAGTAGATGCATAGTATGTGCATCTACTATGGGTGCATCTACTATCTACAACTGCTAACACAGTATCCATCCACAATTAAATTCGATTCCTATAAGTTTAGATTTTAGAAAAGACCTGGGTAAATACAGGTTTGGAAACGGTATATTAATATAAATTAATATATATAATTTATTTATTTATATGGAACGTGTTATCAAGTACTATTAAAATAATCGACCAGGATTGCTTCACACGTAAGATAGCAATAAATTAATTAATTTAGATGAATATAAATAGAAGTACCTCCCTTATTTTAATGTTCTTAAGTTCTTATATTTGAAATCTATACACATCATAGAATTAATGATTATTGTAATTATTCATGGCTAAATGGCTTCCCGTATTTTGTTTATTAGAAAACGTTTCTATAACATCTTGGGAGATTTCTTTGCGGCCAAAGATGTTATTACTTTATATACCAAACAAATAATTTCGGCCAGTAGTTATTGGATTTGTAATTATGTCTGTCTTTCTGTGCATGATTGTTTACGACACTAGACCTATATCATGATGGTGATCTGGCAAGAGTTGAACAATCCTGCCGACCCTTAACTTGTAATGCAGCTTAAATAGTCAGTATTTACTGCATATCAATGTAAGAATGGGCATTATACTGAAATACGGAAATTGATAATCAAATTAAACCCCTAAATTAGAAATTGTAAGTCAATTTTCCAAGGTTGTAACATGTCCAAAAGGTCTAGCTTCTAATTGCTGGCATTTTTGGAGAACTTTAAACATTACGAGGTTATATTTGTAATAATATTAACCATAAGTTAGATCTAATTCTCGTGATCTAACCTTAAAATACTTCATCTCTTGACTGGAACTCAAATAATAAACTTCCTAGAGAATGAATTTCTCATGGACTGAATCCTAGATGCTGGACAAGCCAGAGTCTGAACCTCAGAGACTGGTCCTTCAAAAGACCAGTACATATATATTCCCAGGAATATATAATATATTCCCAGGGGATATATTCCGCGTAAACTTTCCGGATCTTACTGATACAAAATGTTCTGTTAATGTTTTAATATAGCCTTCTTTGGGATACGGCCAGGTATTGCGAGGTAAATACCTGTACTTTGACACTCTGTTAACGCGCGTAGACCTGACACAGTGTCATTACACCACTTGGCACAGCGTCATAGGGCTACCTGACACTGCAGACAGTGTCGCTGCCTGACGCTGCTCCCCTTACATGGGAGAACAACAGGTGTTTCTTGCCCGTTGGGTGTTCTACATCACCTGCGTTGACGCAACAGCAAAGCGGCAGACTGTGTTCTTGTTCTCATTCATCGAGCACCTGTTGCTCTAATATTTGTGTTTCCTTGTTGTAAATGAATAGTCGTGGATATTCTCGGAGACTCTGGTCTTGTCTTTTTAACTATCGGTTGTATGTTGATGTTTGTGTCTGTCTGTTTGCGCACGAAGGCATGCGTTTATACTGATCCTTCAGGTAAGGAGTGTCTTATCCATTGGTCATTAATTCAGTGTTTTCGTCTCGATCGGCATTCTTAGGATAGTTACCATCTAGTGTAGTATATAGAAAATATTTTGATAAACAACAACGTTAGTTATTTTAGTATTGATATTGACCCCATACGTATTCTATCGGTGGTGGCAGAAACGTTACTCAGTGGGCACACTATCCAAGTGAACGTTACTTAAACGTTAATTCAATGTTGATTTAATGTTGAATTAACGTTACTTTTGGATATTGTGTCCACTGCGTACTGACTACCATAAATGGGCTCAGGAGCTGGACCTTGAGTTCCTTGAGGCTAAACAACTTACATTTGTTGTGAAGTAGCTACAAACAGACTTACTGTGTACTCAATATAAAGTGATTGAATAACAAATACCCCAATTTACCCATCAGCTCCTTTAACCTGACCATCCCTCTTATCTTATATTTACCCTCACTCATCCCTCTCATAATTTGATAAGAGTTACGAAAATTACGAAACCTGTACATCTTACCCAAATGATAAGGACTTTTTTTACATTTATTAAACAATTTACAAGCTAGGAACTTCCTAACCCAATGTTATTATTGTTATAAAAAAAACTCGTAGTTTCAGAGCTCATAAACTATTTCACAGAAGTAAACATAGCTACCATGATTGAGGAAAGATGTACCGGTTTCGTAAGTAGTTGCATCATTGCTTGATTAATCCAGACCCTGGACTGAGCAAAAACCTCTTTCATATAATATATAGTCTTGGCTTGGCGCTTTCCCTGATAAGTCCCTCCCTCCCCCTGTTTCATTTAATTTCACATGTGTGGGTTGGGTTTTATAGACTGAATTACCCTACACGTGTACAGCATCACCCTCCACGTGACAGAAAATACAACCTTCATTTTGGTGATGTATCTGTATGAAGGAACAATGCTCCCACAAATCAGGTCCCCCACAGACACATGTGAGGCAAATGACATTGATTCAACGTTAAATCATTGACAAAGTTGATTGATCTTCAACGTTACTACTAATATCTCTCGTTGAGAAAATGTCTCTCAGATTGATATTCACAGCTGCTACAGTTCTGGAACGACAGCTACATGATAATAATATTAGTCTTTGACGTGTTAAATTCCTGTAAATTACGCATTCGTGAGAACTTTCAAGGTTATATCATGATTTACATACGGGGAGTAAAAATTCACTTTTTACTGAAATATATATTTTTGTCGTTCTGGGTTTGGGATAGCTTAGGTTAGTACTAGGTCAGGTTAGGTTAGACTAGTGCTAGGTTAGATTAAGTTAGGTTAGGTTAGATTAGGGATAGGTTAAGTTAGGTTAGGTTAGGTTAAATTAGGGATGGGCTAGGTTAAGTTAGATTAGGGATACGTTAACGTAAGCTAGCGATAGTCTAGGTTAGGGCAAGACTAAGGTACAGGTTAGATTAGAGACAGTGTAACACGGGTTTGGGTTCCTCTCTCTTTTCTTCCTTCTTTCTACTCCCTCTACCCGTATTCTTACTTTTATTTCTAAACCAAGGGACTCCAAAACTTTTAACAAAGCCAACTCCACGCCACGTGGTCCTAAGACGATTGACCGACTTAGGATTCTACACCCAGTATGACGTGACCTAAGCTCTGAACAAAACCCTAGAGTCACCTCTGCTGCCACCACCAGACCAGTAATACAAGAGCAATGATCGAGGTCTGGATCGATCACGCTAATTAATCAACCTAGGGGCTTGATCCCCACTATAAACGATGACCTTGAGTGTGGAATAAATTACACGGTAATGATGATTCCGATTCGATGTTAGAATCGGCGCCCAATACAACTCTGCCTCGTGTGGACCACGTGACCAGGACAAGTTTACACATAACCAAATGGAAACAATAAAATGCAAATTAATAACAAATTTAATTTATTAAAAGAAAACTAAAACAAAATCTAAATGTGTTCACTCCCTATCACTTTAACACTCCCTACTTGACCTGAATGGCAAATGAGAAGACTATTTCTATACATAACCATAGCAACTATACCTTGGGCGACCAGCTAGATGTCTTGGGGAGAGGTAAGATGTTTGACCTCTCCCAGCTGCTCCCGTATTCACACTGATTTTTTCCTTGTCTGGACTACCCCAGACAGAGTATTGTATCCTTCCGCCTAGTCCGTCAAAGTCCTACCCAGTTACTAGCAAGGTTTAAGTTATAACAATTAACCTCTGTTGTACTTAATTGATCCAGACTGGTTGAATTATTTTACTGA